CGCGGGATCGTGATCGTCGGTTTGGTAGGCTGGAGTTCGGGGACACCTGAGAGCACTCAGTCGAGACTCGGAGCACCGGACCTCGTTTTATGTGTCGCCCTAGGAAGTTGGATAGGGTAGGCTTCGTCGAAGGCAGCAGAGAGCCGGAGATAAGACGAAGTGTCGGCTCCTGTCGGAGCGCCGATTTAAATACCCCGACGCGGCGGGTTCGTTGGAAGGGAGGCCGGCGGTCGGGCGAGCCGCGTAAGGATGCTGACGCGCGCTCGCCTTCGGCGCGGATCGGCTCCTTCCGGCAATTTTGAACTTATCGATAATTTTGCGTGAGAAGCAGAAGAAAAGTATATCGCAGTACATATAACGGACGGATACAATTTTATATTAATAAATTGGGGGAATCCCCAACAAGAGGTAATAGTGGAGGAGTAGCAATTAGTGTTAAAGAAAATATAGAATTTGAAATTATAAATAGCTGGCAAAAAATAAACGATATATTTGACATTATAGGAGTAAAACTTATTAATACAAAAGAAAAATTCAATATAGTTGCAATATATAGAAGACCAGGAGACATAACAGACAAAATATGGAAAGATATATATAAATTTGAGACTAAAAACTTAGAGACTATTATTGCAGGAGACTTTAATGCACATCATACATTATGGAATTGTTATGATATAGATAAACAAGGAGAATACTTATATAAAAATATGTATGATAATGATATATATGCGTCAATGTAAATACATTAACAAGAATGGGAGCAATAGGACAACATTCAAATAATTTAGATTTATTTTTTGCCACGTCAAGAATATGTGATGATATTGAATATGAACAAATTAATGATACTTGGGATTCCGACTATCATCCAGTAGAAATTAGATTAACAACAGAAATAGAAAGCTACATTAAAAAAACTAATAAATTCTCTACTAAAAAAACAAGATGAATAGAATACAAATACAAGATGGAACAAATAATTAAGGATAATATAGAAGAATATAAAAAGACATTATTAGGAAACAAGACCAACAAGAAAGAAAAATACTCAGCCTTTATCAAAGTAATTAAAACAACGATTAAAAACATCACGGAAGATGGAAGAAAAGCAAGAAATCAGAATAAAGAAGAGCAACAGAATAAAAGAACGACGGGAGAAAAATCAAGAGGAAGAAAAGTTATATGGTGGGATGCGGAATGTGATGAAACAATGACAAAAAGACAAAGAGCGCTAAAGAATTAAAAAAAAAGAAGGATTTACATTTGTTACGTCCTGCGGACTCCACGATATCCCTTTTTCGCGGGAATTCTTATGCACCTAAGATAGCCCTAAGATTAGGATAAACAAGCCGAGTACGGACGGTTATCGATCGGGGTGAGGTTAGACCTCGCATTCCTTTTTTTTATACAACTATAATAGCTATTTGCCTAGGCGACGAAGCGACCTTCCAGAGTAAAATATTGACAGACGGGGCATACGTAATCGGATTTTGTCTATCAACCTTGTCTGGCCCATAACTATAAACCCGGCGACACGACGCGCCAAAAAGGCCTGAATCCTAGATAGAGTTGATGAAGATCTTTATTGCATCGAGCGAGCACTCTAAAATTGCTCATGCAATGTTTCCGACAAACAGAGACAAACCCTAGGACGTGATTGTAAATACACGTGGCGGAAGTTCTGTTTGCCTTGTACCTACTATTAAGATTGAGAAGTATGCATCGTCTGTTGATATAAAAACAGGGTCGCGAAATAAGTAAGGAACCCCAATAAAAGAGAAATCGGCGATAGCCGAAAAACAAATGCGTCACTGGAAAGAACCGATGGATTACACCCCCAATAAGACAGTGGAGCCTTAAGAGGGGGCTCATTAATGGAAAACCGCAAAAATTGATAACCGTCTCTAGCTTTCCAGGATAGGCGAAAACTTAAGAATCTACCTCTTGGGTGAGGAACATCTCAACCAATAAAAAATCCGTTAAACAAAAATTAGAAACATCCCGCCAACCCGAAATCCTTTAAACGAAAACCAGACACACCCCACATGAAACCCACCCCTTCCATTTCCTACATTTTCCTATATAAACCCCGAGATTGCGGCACTCCCCCTCAAAAACTTCTCAGTCTCTTCAAGCCTCTAAAGATTTAATCTACATTTCGGCATTATAATCGTGATCTCTTCCGTTTTCGAGTCACGATTCCGCGTTTAGAGTCTGTGCAAGAGATCCAACAGCACATCAGTCGCTCCGACTCATCCACCAACGTCCATTTCGAGAAGAAACCCACTCCGACGTTTTGAACTCACCGAGTAGTAAGTCGCAAACACACTCCTTTCTATTACCCTTATTTTCTTGTGTTCGGGAAGTCTCTCGGATCCATGTCCCTCAAATCCTCTAGCCCCTTTTTTTTCTCTATTATTCACGGATTAGTCGATTCGTCGGCAGATTCGGAATAATCTCTTCTATTATTCACGGATTAGTCGATTTGTCGGCAGATTCGGAATAATCTCTTCTATTATTCACGGATTAGTCGATTCGTCGGCAGATTCGGAATAATCTCTTCTATTATTCACGGATTAGTCGATTCGTCGGCAGATTCGGAATAATCTATTACTTCGAGCTACCTGACTCGTCGGTGGACTCGAGGTATTGTTCTATCTCCCTAATCTCCAAAACCCGAGCTGACTTCTCCGCAATTAGCGGGCTTAAATATTAACAATCCACTAATTTGTAGTGGATTCGGGTAGTCCCACCCATAAGAGGTCGCGAACCGCCGCGAGACACATAAAGAATCGTCGGAACAGGCGGGCGCGAAAAGAGCTTGACTTCCCTCAAGAATCAGCCAACGTAGGTCCTCTGCGACTCGCTACTCCGCCGCCTCCGCCAACCTTTCCGGAAGAACCCTGTTCATCACAGGAAAATCGCCCCTTTATCATCTTGTCTTATCGCCCAGTTGTCCTACCCTCTCGCCCAATTGCTGAACATTCTCGCTCTGTTTGCCGCGTGGCTCCGTTTCGCGTAGTCCCGGTTCGCGCGGTCCCCGTCAACCCCGATCCAGCCCGTTTCCTAGAACCTCCCGATTCTCCCTCCTCTTCCCGAAGTCCGTCCCCGACCTCCTCGACCGCCTCGACCGTTGTAAACCTCAAGGAAGTAGACGAACCCTAGGTGATAGACTTAGAGTAATAATTATAAAATACATTCATTTTTATTCTAATTCTCATATGTTTCGCCTAAGAATTTCATTAAATGTACATAATGTTCAACAACCGTCTGCACAAGTTCTTCTTCGTTTTATTATATACATCCACACTTTTTACACTAACGCCTAGTTTATAATTATTTTCATATCAAATAACATTATTTTTTTTATGTCAAATAAATATGAATACTTATGTTAAAGACATCTCCATTCTTTCTTTAATTTAAGACCTAACCCTCAGTACTTTCCTTCTCTCAAAATTGCACGAGGTCCGATCCTGAGTTAAAGGAATTAAATTTTCTGACTCGAAAAAGGACCAACGATCGCACCGCTCACGAAAGGCGTCCTAGCGTCTTTACGGACGTCGACCCTTCCTGAGTCATAAAAGTGCGCTCGGCTCGCGCCTCGCGTCTCAGAGCGCGTACCTGCGAGCAACATTTGTAAGTATCTAGTTGCGTCCTCCCTTACCCCGACCCCTTTGGTTAGCCTTTCCTTCTTAATCCCGGGATTGGACGTAACACACTCATTAGTAGAATATAACAAGAGAAAAGCGGAAGCAAAGAAGATTATTAACACAAAGAAAAGAGAAAGTTTTGACAAATTTTGTGCATCAATTAACAGATTTACGAGTCAAACATATTTATGGAATAAAATGAGAATTTTCAAAAATGTTAAAAAGAAGATAAATTGGAATAATTGGACGAACAAAAATAGAAAAGAAGAAATTAGAAAAGAAATTGATAAACTAGCACCACCAAGTGTTCAAGTAGAAATGATGGATCAGGAAAGAGTATACAACACGAAAGACAGCTTGGAAGATAAGTTTACAAGAGAAGAACTGAAAAGAGCACTACAAATGATCAAGAAAAAATCGGCACCAGGAAGAGACGGAATAGAATATTGTATGCTGAAAGACATGACTGAAGAGATGGAGGAGGTGATGCTGGAAATATGTAATGAAGTGTGGACAACGGACTGGTTCCCGGAAGGCTGGAGGAAATACCAGACGATGTTTATAGACAAAGTTGGAAAAGAAAAAGTCAGGCCAATTGCACTATCATCTTGTGTAGAAAAAGTCATGGAAAGGATGGTGAACGAGCGCATGGTCTGGTGGGCGGAACGAAATAACAAATTAGCGAGAGATCAGAATGGATTTAAGAGAGGAAGGTCATGTGCAGAAAATTTGGTCAGGTTAACAACAGATATAAGGAACAGTATTTATACAAACCAATATATTTGGGCAGCTTTCTTAGATGTTTCATCAGCATACGATGACGTAATATATAGTATATTAATGACAATTTTAAAGAAACTTAAATGCCCGGTCAAGCGAGTCAGTGGTCTCCTATGCTAGATGCTGGATTCACGCTCCGGAGATCCGGGTTTGATCCCAGCCAGGTACACAAAATCCTGGGGGGGTTTTTTCCCCGGTAATTCGTGGTTGGTCCAGTAGAAGGCGGCGGGGGCTACAGGATGCGCGCCTCCTCGGAATTTTCGGGGAACGCCATCAAGTCGATTTCTCCCTCCTAATGGGGGACTCGCCCTCACCTGCCCCGATTTGATGGGTATGGTGGGGAAAGAGGAGATATTGGCGCTATTCACCGAGTGGATTGCCGGTATAAGCAACCAACCCAGGATACTGGTTAGGGCACCCTCTTGTCCTGGGGGTGAGAAATCGCCCCCGAAGGCGGATGAACTATTACTCAAGGTAATCAATGGCGTAGGATTAGGCAGGCAAGGGGAAATCACCTGATTATTGTCCCAAGAGAACGCTTCATGAATGTACGAAACAGAGGAAATGGTTGTGCCGAGCGATCCGGCTAGCGACCGGCGCTGCACTGATTCCGGGTCAGGCAGTGTGAAATGGGCTACCGGGCATGTGGAGGTGAAGGGACGGGCCTCACATGCGAAATGGATGACTGGACCCAATAACAAGCTACAGCTGAGGAACAACTTATCCATTGGCACATGGAATGTTAGAGGTTTACTTCACGCAGGAAAACTAAATCTCCTTGAACGAGAGCTGATGAGGGAGAAGGTTGACATATGTGGCATCTCTGAAACCCACTGGAAGGATCAAGGACATTTCCACACGGAACACCATAACATATACATGCCAGGAGGTGCGAACAGAGGACGGAATGGAGTCGCGTTCTTGGTTAGCAGGAGGATTGCACAGACGGTGCACTCGTATGAGCCCATCAATGACAAAATAATCAAAATCACCCTTGCAGCTAGATCGAGAAACCTTCACCTGGTACAGGTGTATATGCCTACAGGCGACGCTCTTGACGAAGAAATCGAGTCAATCTATGGTGATGTGGAGGATCTCCTGAGAAATATACCCTCGAAGGAACCAGTAGTAATCATTGGAGACTTCAATGCCAAGGTGGGGAAGGTCGAGGAGGCTCACCTAAGAGGCACAGGGGGAGCATTTGGACTGGGTGTGAGGAACGAGAGAGAAGAACGCCTCATTCAGTTTGCGGTGGAGAACGACCTGGCCATCATGAATACCATGTTTCAACACCATCCTCGAAGACTGTCGACTTGGATCAGTCCCAATAAGGAATACCGAAATCAAATTGACTACATGATGATCAAAAAGAGATGGAGGACATTGATAAGAAATGTCAAGCCTGGAGCGGACTGTGACTCTGATCACAAACTACTACTAGGAGCCTTCAGCATAAAACTCCACTTCCTGAAGAGGGGGAAAAAACAGGATATAACACGAATTGGAAACATGGAGGCCTTCCAACAAAATCTCATGGATAACGCTGACTGGGGAAGGAGCGATGATCCAAACAAATGCTGGGAAAACATCAAGAAATGGATCAAAAGGGCAGTCAGGGAAAGCGGAGCAATAGAAATCCGGAAGAAGAAGCACTGGATGACCGATGCAATGCTGCAACTGGTGGAAGAGAGGCGACGTATCAGAGGCAGTTTGGGTAACGCAGGTAACGCAGATAACGCGGACCGATTACGCTGGATCAGCCAACAGATCAAACAAGCATGTAATCAGGATAAAAACAACTTCCTAAAAAACATATGCTCTGATATTGAACGACACGCCAACCGACACGAGTCCCATGAACTTTTCAAAACGGTCAAGTACCTGACCAAGGAATTCAAGCCTCAAACCCAAGTAATCAAGAATGAGCAGGGCGCGAAGATCACGGACCCAAAAGGCATTGCAGAAACATGGCGACAGTACTGCACCAACCTGTACAGGGACGAACATAGTCAAGTGGGCCCCCCATGTGGGCCCTATGAGCAACTGGAACCTCCCATCTTGCGCTCAGAGGTAGAAAAAGCAATTGGGCAGCTGAAAAAGGGGAAATCACCCGGGGCAGATGGCATAACCGCAGAAGTGATCAAAACCATGGGCTAAGCGGGAATGGACACAATGCTGGAGCTATGTAACGTCATCTGGAGGACCGAAAAATGGCCTGACGACTGGCGCTACTCGACCTTCGTCCCGATCTACAAGAAGGGTTCCCTCACTGAATGCTCCAATTACAGGACAGTGGCTCTTATTCCCCACGCGAGCAAGATCCTTCTCCATGTCCTTCATAACAGACTAAAGTGCTTCCTGCTTCCGGAAATAGCCGAAGAGCAGTGTGGTTTCATTCCGGGGAAGGGCACGAGGGAGCAAATTCTGAATGTTCGCTAAATAGTAGAAAAGGCCAGGGAATTCAACGTCAGGGTCTTTATATGCTTTGTCGACTACACCAAGGCGTTCGACTCGGTGAAATGGAAACCCCTCTGGACCATTCTGATGAAAATGGGAGTACCGCGGCATCTGGTGGCACTTGTGCGGAGCCTATATGAGAACAACACAGCGGCTGTTCGAGTCAACCGAACGACATCCAACGACTTCCAAACAAAGGCGGGCACGAGGCAGGGCTGTATTCTCTCACCCATACTCTTCAACATCTACACAGAGTACATAATGCGGCAGGTGCTTGAGGATTGGAAAGGAGAAGTTTCTGTCGGGGGGAGGAGAATCAGCAACCTGAGGTATGCCGACGACATGACGATTCTGGCTACGACCGCGCAAGAGATGAAAGCTATCATGGAGAGACTCGCGTTGATCAGCAAGGAGTATGGTCTAGAAATTAACCGAGATAAGACGAAGATCATGATCATCGACAGACAGATAAATAACCAGCCCAATGCGAAGGAAGTGGCTGGATTTGAAGTCGTTGAAAAAATGGTCTATTTGGGCTCCATGATAACTAACAAAGGAGGATGTTCAGAGGAGATCAGGAGGAGGACGGCCATGGCCAGGGCAGCCACCATAAAATTGAGTAAAATATGGAAAGATAGAATCATCACAAAGAATACCAAACTGCAACTGGTGCACTCCCTCATCTTTCCCATCGCAACCTATGCAGCCGAGACATGGACCATCAAGCAGGCGGACAGGAGGAGGATAGAGGGGTTTGAGATGTGGGTGTTCCGGCGCATCCTCCGGATCCCTTGAACTGCACACCGGACCAATATATCGGTGCTAGAAGAACTGGGCATCAGAACAAGACTTCTCAAGCGAATTAATCAGGCTTACCTCCGCTACTTTGGACACATCGCCAGACAAAGAGACACAATGGAAAGAGCTTGTGGTGGAGGGAAAGGTTAATGGAACGAGACCAAGAGGAAGATCACCAAACAGATGGATAGACCAGCTGCGGCCCCTGGTGGGGAGTTCGATTCACGGGGCGACTCACTTGGCGCTGGATCGGGGGGGCTTGGAGCAACCAAGTCAAAAGTGCGATTACTGTGGCGTCACCATGAAACGCCGCCACGCCCTGTCAAGGGCAAAAGAATTGAGGAGGAGGATATATATATATATGATCAGGCAGTTCTCAAGTCGTTGGAATATAGATTATAATATTCTTTAAACTACAATAATTAAAAATCCCTTTTTATATACACCAGAGCCGGGATTTAGTTGCACATTTCGGACCGATTCCCGAGGCGACGCCTCCTATATCGCCACTACCACTCGAGGCTCAGCGGCCGAGCCGCTGATCGCTCACGCGACGCGTCATCTCAGGAGCGTCGCGCGTGCTATAAGCATGATGCAACTGTAATCTCCTCCGAATAATATTAAGTAGCTAGTTAGAACTGTTTTTATTTCAATAATTAATAATTGAACATCCTTATATTATTATTATTATTATTAATATTCTATATGTATTGTTGCTATTAATTTACATATTTAAATCAAGCCTGTAATAATTATATAATATTTTATTTGGAACTCTTAGTTTGTGTGCTACACTTATAACAAAATTACATAATAATCCCTTTATTTTCGCAATATATATAGAATATAATTAATTAAAAAATCGGTAAGCGTGGTGTGTGTAGAAATATGTAGATACTATATAATCATTATTAAAATAAAAGGAGTAGTAATAATTGACACTGACTGGCAATATAATTCTTTAATCACACAACCC